TTTCTTTTTGTTAAAGATGGACTTTACCTTTAACAAATAAAAAAGTGTAAAATCGGCCCTTTTGGTGTTTGTTGGGGCGACTGTCCAGGGACACACAAGTAGAAGACTCGACTAATCTGAATATGGAGCGCAACCATATCCATAAGGCATGTTACGTTACTAAAGATGTGAAAGTCACGTCAAAGTTTGCTTTCAGTTAAACACAATAATAGTACAAAGCGCATTACATTGTGCAACACCCCTTCCACTAAGGATGCACGGATACCGATATCAGTGCAAATACTGGGCATGCCCCGAAAGTGCTGATACTGGCGCTTAAGATTTTTAAACTGAAGCGGACTCTGTAAGCAGGTGCTGCCATTCGCAGGAAGGCTGCCAAAGTCTACAGCGAGGTCCCGACAGCCTCCCTATGAACCACAGCGCCGGCTGAAAATCTCCTCCCCGACACCCCGCACAGCCCACCCCGACACTCCGCACAGTCACCAGAGATCCTCTGCTGGAGACATCAGGCCGGCACCCCAGAACAGCACAGAGTATGTAGCTTCATATTATTCTGCACTTATGTATAATGTATAGCTCGGATTTGTAGTCCTCTGTAGCTGGTGGTATTATTCTGCATTGCTGTATAATGTATTGCTGAGATTTGTAGTCCCTCTACAGCTTGGAGTCAGTGGCAGAACTACCAGGGGTGCAGAATTTGCAACTGGAACCGGGCCCTGGTGCTCCACCACTGTCCAAAAATCATTAGTCTGTATGTTTTAGAAAAATGGTCACATGGCACACAAAAAGGGAGGGATCGGTAATTGGTATCGGTGAGTACTTGAGGAAACGTATCAGTTCTCGTAATCGGTCTGGGAAAAAATGGCATCTGTGCTTCTCTGACACCAAAGCATATACACCCTGCAAGAGTGAAATCATAATAAAGAAATGAGGACAGATCATCTTTGTGCAGCAGATTCAATTCTCACAATTAGTAACAGACCTCAGAACGAGCCGTGACACGATATGGAACATCTCTCATCGCTGTCCGCTACAAAACTCCCAAGATGCCACTAGATAACCATTAAATTATGGGAACCGTGAAAAGGGAAGCACAACTGGCCCATACAATTCTAAAGAGCTACTGCACTTCCTCAGTGTTAATAGGATACATACTTTATCGTCTGTACATCTCCAAATGAGTAACACATTAAAAAGTCATTTGGTGCGTGCTTGTCAGTGCCAGACAATTGTCAAATGTTCCGTTGACTTGCCCGGTCTACTCCGAGCTTGACCTTATGTGACTAGCGCAGCGCATGTCATCGCCCGGGTCCGGTTATCCAGACTCCATACAACCGCCGAAATTGATTCAACACATTCGTCTTCAGGTTCTCCTTCCCATCACTTAGAACAAGTGGCAGGATCATAAACAAGCCATTCAGAGCAATTACATTTTATATACTGTATGATGGAATTTGGCTTGGGACTCCAAACTGATCATAAAAAAGTGTGACAAATAGTTTAAACCGTATCCAAAACATTGACCATTAAGCTACTCATAAACAATGAAAATTAGGGCACGGTACATTTACCAGGACGGTAGACCATGGAGCAATTATGATATTTTTCTTTTAGCTAATACGTTATGAACGAGAACGAGGGTTTAGTTACACTTGGCACTTGCTGTGCTTTTCAATGTGTAGATTTGTTTTACTTGGGCTGCGCCAGAAATCTTTTACGTGCCATTAGGAAGACGCGTTCTTGTTGCCCATCATAACCCCATTCTCGTAATTTTATTCCAAAAAAAAAAAGTACATGAAAGGTGAAACTCAAGCTGCTAAAAAGGCAGAAAGTACACTATACGGCCAAATATTGCTGTGGACAATAGTGAACTCCCAACCTTGTGGCAACAGGTTGGGGAAGGCCCTTTTCTGTTCTAGCTTGACTGTGTCTCTGTATACAAAGTCAGCTCTATTAAGACATGGTTTGATGAGTTTGCTTTGGGGGAACTAGAATCGCCATCACAGAGCCCTGACCTTAACCCTACTGAACACCTTTGGGATGAATTATGCTGGGCACACACCTTACAACCATCGCAAGAATTTTGCCTTGCGATGGTTGTAAGGTAAATAAAAAAATTTACGATCTGCCTATTTTGGACAGGCAGATCGTACTTGCGATGATCGCAAGCCGCGCCCCCGAGGGGCGTGCTTCCGATGACCGCAATGCCGAACGGGCAGTGAGCTTGCGCACAGCGGCCCGTCCGGCTTTTATCTTACGAACATGCTACACACCCGCCGAACATCGTACGATGCTCGGCGGGCTTTCGAACATGTTCGTAAGTTAAAAGTCGTGCGACCTTACAGTAGTAGAGGTCGCACGGCTTCCACACACCTTACGATAATCGTACGATCGCGGGATTTCCTGCTATTATCGTAAGGTGTGTAGCCACCCTTAGAGCACCAACTGTAATCCAGGTCTCTCGTCCAACTTCTTTAAAAGGAGAACTATGGGGTTAAGGCTTTTCCCCATCGTTCTCCTTAGGGTAACGGGAGGACACAAACTAGCATCCTCCCGTTACCCTAAGCTCAGTATATACTGAGACGTCGCAGCCGGAGCGGATCCCGACATCAATGTCGAGATCCGCCCAGCTGCATGAGTGACAGGATCGAGAGGTGAGCGAACGCCGGTATATGTTCGCTCACTTCCCGATCTACTGAGCCGACCTGTAACAGTCTCATTGTCACAGGTCAGCTAGAACTATGAGGTGAGTGAAAAGCACTCACCTCATAATTCTCCTTTAAAGCTGAATGGGCACAAATTCCACCCAGACACCCTCCAAAATTTTGTAAAAAGCCTCTGTAGAAGAATGGAGGCTACTAGAGCTCCAAAAGGGGGCAAACTCCATAGTAATGTCCATGGTTTTGGAACGGATGTCCAACAAACTGTGATGGTCACATGCAAACAAAGCTTTGGCCATATAATGTAGCTTTTCCTTTAGGACCCCCTTTGTGTGTGGTGCAGTGCATTCATTTTAAATGATACCCTGATGCACCTATACAGTAAGGCCCCTCTCACATGGGCAGACCAAGAGGAGATCCATGCACGGATCCTTTCCTAATTAGAGCAGTACAGGTCAGATGTCACTGCTGTGACATCCATGTCCATCCAATTTTATTTCCTCCATCTTGTGATGGAGGAAAAAAACTGCAATGACTGGACCCCATGTCGGTCTATGGGGAATAGGATGTAAACAGACATGTGACCATTTACACCATATTACTCCAAGTTCTGTATAACCAGGCCAGTTAAAAAAAAGAACACTGTACCGTTTGCTTTTCTTGACCTGGCCGGAGTCAGGGATACCCGGGTGGAAATAGACACCTATCCATTTAGACCCAGCTGCACATAGACTAGCATTGAGCATCCAACTGGGTCCACCCAAAAAACTGACAGGTGGACCTAATCAGACCGCCCAAGTGAAAGGAGCCTAACAGGCAACACACCTGCACTGCGGCACAACACTCATGCCAAAACATTTACAAATACTGAACAGGCAGTAAAATCACTCAAAAACAAGCCCTCAACGACCTCTGTAGCTGCAGACAATCAGGCTTTTGGATTTCCCATTGCTTTCTCTCACCAGGACAAGCAGAGAGAGTAAATCTTCAAACAGCAATAAAAACCTGACAGAGGTTCCAACCTGCCCCACTCCATTCAAAACAAAAACAAAAATTTAGATATACTTAAAAAAGAGAACTATGGGGTAAGTGTTTTTCCTCAGTTATCTTTAGGGTCACGGGAGGACATATACTAACCTCCCCCCGTGACCCAAAGTTCACTATATAGCAGGCTATTGCCAGCGATATACAGAGAGCGCCGCAGCCAGGACGGATCCCAACAATGATGTTGAGATCCGCCCAGCTGCGTGAGTGACAGCGGGCTTTACCGATCTAGAGGCAGAGCCAGCCGTGCCCACCCCCTCTCCTGTCCGTTCCTCCAATCAGTGCTGGAGGATTGGAAAGGGGAGGGGGGAATCCCTTCGGGGAGCCGTGACTGACAGTCACCACTCTCTGCCAGGAGATGATCGGGAAGTAAGCAAGCGACGGTATGCATTTACTCACTTCCCGATCTATAGAGCCGACCTGTGACAGCTTCTTTGTTACAGGTCGGCTCTAACTATAAAGGACGAGTGGAAATCACTCACCTCATAGCTCTCCTTTAATTACGCAGTGCTGGTTTTATTTTCTATTAGGGGCTTCCTAGGAACATAGAATTCTACTATGTCATGAAAGCACAAAACGCCTTCACGTTGGGGTAATTGTGACAGGCTCACTTTACAAAGAACATAATATATTTAAGACAGATCATGTTAACTGCAACTAGTGTCAATACGAGAATTTTACTCGGCATCACCCTTTAAACAAAAAAAAGAAATCTCTTGTACAAGGCTCAGAGCAGAAGAAGAGGGAGAAGCAGCCAAAACATTGTGCTGTGGTGCTTGTATGCCAACAAAGAGAAGGATAGTAGGAGAGAGAAAAGTGACAAAGTGATGAGCTCATTAGCCTTCTGCTTCTCTTTTTACCATCCATTCAAAGACCGGGAGCAGGGACTGGCTTTGCTCACTATGAGGGCTTTGTAAATCTCCGGAATGAATGGAAATACAAATACCTAGGCGGGTAAAGCCGCGTTCATATGTATTTCATCTGTGTATTTATCGGTTTGCCCGGAGTTCAGCTTTAAGTATAAACCATCATCCATTAACATGATAGCTGCTCTTATCTGCCAGTGTAATGTAAAAGCGGCAAGTTATCATTGCTCAGGACGCAAGGGTGTAGCCTGCACGTCAGGATGCTCAATAGGAAATTAAGCAGCATTATTAAAAAAGGAAAAAACGACAACCCTGCACTTCCGTCTGGGGAACCCGACACCTCTGAGCCCACTGCGATTTATTTTCAGAAGGGGAGCGAGCAGACATCAACATTTGATACCCAGTGGAGGAGGCATCAGCCCACGCTTACATGAAACTCGGTTGTGTTGAGAATGTGACGGCCATCTGGGCTCCAGCAGGAGGACACGAGCCCTGCCGAGCCCTCGTCGATCTTGCAGTGCCAGTCCGGCTGTTCCAGAGACCAGACCTGAGGGGGGAAAAGAAAGGGAGATCAATGAGAGTCGGGAATACGGGACACTGGTAAAAGAAACTTTCTGAACGTCCGCAGCTATGAAGGACTGGCACTGGATCCCGCTACAGAAGTAAGCGCAAAGAGCACATTTTACACTGCTTTTACTTTTAACTGCTTCATATGGTTTTTAATATAATTGTTCCACTTGGGGATTGTTTGAAGGACTGCCAATTCTTAAATAACCTCCACCAGATTCTTCAGCATTTGACACTTCAAGGCGTGTTAGATACCTGCAACCCTCGTCATGCACTTTGGTTCCACCAGCCGGCCACACTAATAATGACCTAGTGGCCAGGAGATGGAACACAACTGCAACGGAATACACCGGTATCCGACACTTCGAGAAGTGTCAGATGCTGAATATCCTGGTGTGTAGCTCTACAAGAGAGAGCGAAGATCAGAGGCATAGGTGGAAGGACAGGTATGTATCATTACTGTTCTTTTGCATTTCTTTTTCCAGGCATGATTTAAAGTAGACCTAGCTGCCAATGCCGGCTTTCCAATCTACAAATGCTTAATCCCATACAGCCATTCTGATCCATCCCTCCCCCCCTGCCCGCTTTTAATATTTTGAGTCATAGATCCAGGACAAGTATGCAGATAAGAACTTCTCGACTTCAGCTGGCCATACACTATGCAAATTTTGGCTGGTTGTTCATGAACTAGCCAAGATTCGAACAGTGTGTGCTGCTGTTGGCATCCTTTTGGCCGCCATCCCTCAATCAGCTGAAGGAGCCAGTTGGAAAATCTTCAAACAAACAGACGGCAGCCAATAAGCTGCCGGCTTAGTTGGGACACTTTGACAGTGGATGGTGGCTGGGTTCAGAATGCAATGAAGACAGCAGGAGATTCCTCGATCAACACTCATAAGCGTTGGAGGAATCTGTTCTCTGTTCTTCGTTCAGCCCGCGGATTAAACAAAGAAAATATTACAGTGTATGGTCAGCTTAACTCTGATTTTCTTAAAAACCATACTTGTTCTGGGTCAGTGAATAAGGAATATCACAGCCAGTGTCAGAACAACAGCAAAGTATCATTTTCAGAGGGGAGGGAGGGCAACATAGTTCTCTTGGGGAAAGATTTAGCCAACTTGTTTGCATTTTTAGGGCAACAATTAGAACCCGCCAGGTTTCGTGTGCTATCCAGGGCTCTGTTAGGTAAGGTTTCCCCCTGCTGAGGTCTCAGGTCCAAAATCCAATTCTATACTCATGGCTACATGCACATAAATGCATGCAAGTGCAGCTAAACCTGGGTATCACTTGGCTGTAGATCCTTAAATCATCTCTGAATTGGTGATGACACTGTTCTTCCTCCTGGAGGGGGGCTACTTTTGTTCCCCATGGTCCCTGCGTGTGTTTTAAAGTAGTCACCACTCCAAGCACACTCCTGGGCTGGACTACAATCTCATGTTTAGTTTACTCATTTGTATTGAGACTGTAGTCCATCCCGGGAGTGAGCTTGGAGTGACGACTAGTTAACACAACAGGCACCATGGGGGGGAAAAAAGTAGCCCCCCTCCAGAAGGAAGGACAGTGTCGGCACCAATTCAGAGAAGATTTGAGGATCTACAGCCGAGTGATACACAAAAGAAGATACATTTTTATTAATAGTTAAGTTAAGACTTTAATGCATTTTTAAGATTTAACTCCTGAGTTTGGTGTCACTATAACTGTTCCCTTCACTGGAAACATCTGAACTCCATAATTAGGAGTGGTGTCCACATACCTTTGGCCATATAGGTGTAGGCATGATGGTGAGCTATCCACAAACATTTATTATATAATGTACTATTACATTAAAATAGAAGTCTAGAGTCATCTTTTGGGTCCCATCATCAAACATTGACTTTCTTTAATTCCCTGCCGTGGACGAGTTGGCGCAATCTTGCGTTATGGCCTGACCTACATAAGCAGTGACCTAGAGGTAATTTTTGTTATCTGACTTGTGCACACAAATACTGGAAAAGGAATGCATGGGGTAAAAAATCAATCCAACATGTGCAATAAACAGTTTAGTGAATTTTAAATAACATGTTTGATTAAAAAAAATATCAAAAGTAACCCATGATGGCGAGATTGTTGTATTTGTTGGTTATAGAATTGACCCCTTTCTTCTTTGGTCAATTGTTTTATATTGAGATTGCGTTATTTTTTCTATAGAAAGGCGAAGGGATATCATCTGAGTTTTCACCGTTCTTTCTGTTACTTTGGGAAGATTTCCCCCGGCGTTGTACCAGGACAGGAAGTGAGGGGAAATCTTCAAGAGGGACAAAGAAAGCAATAAAACACTCATTAGCAGACTGAGAGGCGGTTAGAGCCACCATTTAACCCCGGTCTGTTTCTCTCAGGACCTGTCCAACCTTAGCACTCCTGCTGTTGGGAATGTACAGATTCCATTATGCCTCTGGGAGTCTGTGGCTGTCAGTCTTGCAATGCCTCATGGCACTTGTAGTTCCAGATCAGCTGGAGCGCCTAGGTTGCCTACGCTTGCTTTCCCAGAAACAACTATTTTTTGGGCTTTAATGGACAAATCTCAGCAGCCAGACTTTGCTTAGTGCCATCATTAATGGCATCACTAATGCTAAACCCGTCACTGCTCTTAGCTAATGACAGGACAGAAAGTTACAGCTGTGTCGGTAAACATTGCTCCCCAGCTTTCACCATCAGTATTTGCAGATCTCACTGTTTGTATACAGAGGCGTTATCGTTTGCTATGGACATGCAATTGCAAAGTGTTTCAAAACATCTGGAATGTAGCATTTGAATTGTGAACAGGATTGTATGGAGCCGTAATGTATTTATTGTGATTTTTACTTGTTTACAAAACAACATATCCTAAAGCATTTAAAGTGACTTTTGCCTTTTAAAAGGAGAACTATGGGGTTAGGGCTTTTCCGCATAGTTCTCCTTAGGGTAACGGGAGGACACAAACTAGCGTCCTCCCGTCACCCTAGGCTCAGTATACCGCGAGCTACAGTATGTGTTCGCTCACCTCCCGATCTACTGAGCCGACCAGTGACAGTCTCATTGTCACAGGTCAGCTAGAACTATGAGGAGAGTGAAAAGCAATCACCTCATAGTTCTCCTTTAAGGCCTCTTTCGCACGGGCTGATAAGGAGGCTGCTCCCCTCTTGATCAGAGCAGTACAAAGCAAAATGTCACCAATGTGATATACGTGTCCGTCCAGTTTGTTCCCCCATCTTGCAATGGAGGAAAAGTGAAATTAACTGACCCCATGTTGGTCTATGGGGAGTCGGGTGTGTCCGTTTACATCAGATTAACCTTGATCCGGCACGGCCGGGGCCACCAAAATGGAACTTGATCCGGACGAGGCCGGAGTCGGGGGGTATTTGGGTGTAAATAGACGCCTGTCCATTTACACATGTCTGCCTATAGACTAGCATTGGGCATCCAATCAGGAACGCCTGAAAAACTGACAGGCGGACCCAAATCGGAGCGCCCGTCTGAAAGAGGCCTAAGTAAATCACTCTGAATAAAATGTAAACACGTCATAAATATGTCATAGAATGCATCTCAGAATCAATTACATTTTGACCAAAAGCACACTTTGCTCTGGCAGTAGTAAACTTGCTGCCGAGTCCAATACTGGTGTACACAAGGTCGAAGGAATGGGTCCTGAACAAAAGAGTATGACCAAGCAGCAAGTCACTAAGGGGCCGGCCACACCAAGATCAAAAGGTACTCGCAAGTCAACAAAGGGTCCGGCTTGCATTAGCACGCTTTACTTTTTCTTCAATGCAATGGAAGGCAGCAGTGTGAACTGGCCCCATTCACATCCATTCATTTTTTGGGGCCTTTGCCTTAGCATCTGTTAAAAAATGAATGCTAGCATAATGGGTCCGATGTGAATGGGGTTCTAAATCAGAGCCGGTGCCTAACTATTCACGTCTTCTCTAGTTGTCAATAGAGCTGGCTCCTAAAAAACAAAAATCCTGCTGGCTCCTGGATTGGGCAGTCAGGCTACTGAATTCCATATTCATTTGTCCACCCCTCCCCGCACTACATACAGCCTGTCAGTGTGCGGATTAACTTTGTAATAATCCCTGCTCAGTTTTGCTATATATATGCGCCATTTTCTGTGCTGCACACATTTTAGGACAGAACACCAGGTGCATTTAACATTGCAGTGTTGGACAGAGGCAGCGTATCATGTCTGTAGGCAATTATGTTATTCGTTTACAAGGAGCACAGAGTCAAGTAGAAAAGTACCATCGTACAATTCCCCTAAGTGTAAGTAAGAGCTGCTTGTGTTTATAAACCCATTACACAAGCAGTAAATGGAGGCTTAGCTAGAGCAAGGTCATATGGGGCTTTTAATGCCTGCCATGGCTGACAACAAAGTCAACTGCTACCAAACATTTATTTTGTGCATGTCTATGCAGTAAATGTATGCAAAATGCATTAAGTAGAACTCCACCTCCCATAAAAAAGTTTTGCCAATCTCCACTTATGAGGTTCTCATCCAATACAAGAGCTATTGTAGCTCAAATTGCTGAAAAACGTAAAGCTGGTTCTGATGGAAAAGGTGTCTGAACACAAAGAGCATTGCAGATTGTTGCATGCGGGGTTGTGTAGCCACAGGCCAGTCAGGGTACCCATGCTGACCTGTGTCCACTGCCAAAAGCACCTGCAATGGGCATTTGAGCATCAGAACTGGACCATGGAGCAATGGAAGAAGGTGGCCTGGTCTGGTGAATCACGTTTTCTTTCACATTATGTGGATGGCCGGGTACGTGTGCGTCACTTACCTGGGGAACTTAATCCTCCTGTCCCATCGCACTCTTGACCGAACAAAAACCCAAATCCAACTGGGTGGGTGCGGTGGTGACAACGGATGCCTCCGTGAAATGTAGATAGATGAAAGTAGTCACTCGCACTCCACGATATTAAAGTGAATCCTGTTTATTGACTGAGATAACACACATCTCCTTAGCGACGTTTCGAGACCATGCGGTCCCATCCTCAGGCAAACAGTTTGCTCACTCTCACTCTTTGCCTGAGGACGGGACCGGATAGTCTCGAAACGTCGCTAAGGAGATGTGTGTTATCTCAGTCAATAAACAGTATTGACTTTAATATCATGGAGTGCGAGTGACTACTTTCATCTACTTACGTGGGGAAGAGATGGCACCAGAATGTACTTTGGGAAGAAGACAAGCTGGCGGAGGCAATGTGATGGTTTGGGCAATGATCTGCTGGGAAACCTTGGCTCCTGCCATTCATGTGGATGTCACTTAGACACGTACCACCCACCTAAACATTGTTGCTGACCAATTACCCCCCCCTCCCCCTTCATGGAAATAGTATTCCCTGATGGCAGTGGCCTCTTTCAGCAGGACAATGCACCCTGCCACACTGCAAAAATGGTTCAAGAATGGTTTGAGGAACACAACAAGTTTGAGGTGTTGACTTGGCCTCCAAATCTCAATCCAATCGATCTGTGAGGTGTGCTGGAAGAACGAGTCCGATCCATGGAGGCCGCAACTCACAACTTACAGGACTTAAAGGATCTGCTACTGACTGCTTGATGCCAGATACCACAGCATACCCTCAGAGGACTAGTGGAGTCCATGTACCCACGGGTCAGGAAAAGAGGGAACTCAAATGTTAGGCAGGTGGTCATAATGTTATGGCTGATGTGTGTGTGTGTGTGTGTGTGTGTGTGTGTGTGTGTGTGTGTGTAATATAATACATATATTTTTGTAAATAGCTCCTGAACAATTCAACTTCCTTGTTTAGCAGTTCAGCTTCCTGTGTCTCCTCTAATTGGACAATAAGACAAACCACTCCCATCCAATGAGCAGGGAGCTGACCCAGGAAGTGGCAGAGTAATCATACTCACCAGCAGAGGTGCAACACTTTCAGGTAAAACAATAAAACTGTATGTGTCGCAACTGTGAGCGGAACTGTTTGCCAGTCACTGCAACATTCGCAACGTGCGATAAAATACAGAATTTGTGTTTAACCTTTATGGGAATAAATTAAATGTTGGAAAAACAGAAAAAAAATAATATGCACATTGTGGATACACTTCCACTGCATGCAGACCAGGTAGAAGGTGACATCACAGGAAACAGCAGGCCCACAGCTTTAAAACCTGCATCCACGCAGACATGCGTTTACATACACCTCCTGTATTTTGTGCGACATTGATGGTGACAAGAATCTCCCAGTGTGTAACAGGGAACCTTATAGACTAGTGTCCACATTTCAAGCAATCAGGCAGTTTGGCAACTTTCCTTCTCCCGTCTGTTCATCTCTGCATATAAAAACAGATAAACAGAAGTGACCCCTGGCTCCCTCGTATTGGCACACAAGTGGTAAGCGAGATCTCCTGGCATGTGTTAAAGAGCAGGTGTGCTCGCTGGGAGGATCATCTTAAGGGATGAGTGCACTTTAAGTCACAACCTCACACACTCCCTCCTCCCCGGCCTCATCAACAATAAACCCTCTTAAAGTGAACCTGTGATCCCAGTTTGTACGGCCAAGTGACCCTTGCATTTAAAGAGTTACAAAAAGTCTTCCTTGAAGCAGATTGGGCAGACCGGGACTTCAGGTTCTCAGCCCCGGCAGGCTCAGCACACTATTTTGCTGGATAGATTCCCTTTCACACTCTGCTGCATCAGCACTGCCATGCAACCCACCCGGACAGCTAGTGTGAAGAGATAACACTTCCCCTCCAGTACAGAAACTTATCTTACCTTGAGAGTGTCTGAAGTTCACATAAAGGACCAGCGGGTTTCTTGAAGTAGAACTGAAGCTGAAACTTGTTTTTCTTAAAATTTCGGATAGAGCAAAGGATGGTTTTAAAGTGACATTAAACCCTCAGATTTTTTAACAAACCAATAGTGTAATGTGCGCCTTACTGTAATCCATGGTTGTTTCCCTTCTCTTTGCTGCTCTTCCTTTTAAATCTGCATCTGTTCTCATGCTGGGCAGAACTTCTGTTTTGCAGCAGACTGCCTTGTCTCTGGAATGGATACATGGTGTCTGTGTATAGGTTTGCAACCTGAGTCAGCACTACAAGAAGAGGCACTCGGCTGCAAAGGGAAGTTCTCCCCAAGCATGAGAAGACATAAGGATTTAAAAAGGAAGAGCAGCAAAGAGAAGGGAAACAACCATGGATTACAGTAAGGCACACATTACAGTATTGGTTTATGGTAAAAAATCTGAGGGTTTAACCAGTTGACATCCGCGGTGTTAAACCCCCTTCCCATCCAGGCCATTTTTCAGTATTCAGCGCTGCGGTACTTTGACTGGCATTTATTCCGTCATGCAGCGCTGCACTGAAATGAATTTTATACCCTTTTTGGGGACAGATAGAGCTTTCTTTTGGTGGTATTTATTCACCACTGGGGTCTTTATTTTTTTACTATATTAAGGAAAAATTACCGAAATTTGTTTTAAAAAAACAGTTTCCCCTATATTAAATGATAAAACATTTATTATTACCCAATTTTTTGGTAAAATATAAAAGATGGGGTCACGTCGGGTAAAAAGACACTAAACATGTCAAGCCTTAAAATTGCGTGCGCGCGCGAAACCTCAAAAAACGATAATACCCAAAATTGGCCATAGGCGACGCTTTAAAAGCTGTTACCGCTCATCAGTTTAGTGTTATCAGTGATTGATGGCCCTAAAATGATTGCTCTCACTGCGACGTTCGCGGCGATATGTAACATGTGTAGCGCAATTGTAATGTTTGCCGCTGGGGCACCAGACGCGCATTTACGTTTATTGGCGTATAAACGTGGGGGTGGGGGAGTTAAACATTTTGGGGGGGTTTTTTCCCCTTTTTTTTATATGTGACTTATTTTACTTTTTTATATGTTACTTTTATTTATTTTTTATTTATTATATTTTTTTTGCACTTATTGTTATTGCTATTATATAGGGGGATAACAATACCCCTATATAATAGCAAAGGCACACTGACAGGTCCTCTTTATGGAGACATTAGGGGTCTCTGGGACCCCTAATGTCACCTGTGGACCCCAAAAGAAGCTGATGAAGCAGAGATCTGCTTCATCAGCTTCTTTACTCTGGCTATAGCAGCCAGATGACTGACAGGTGAATGCGGAAGTGATGTAATACACATCACTTCTGCATTCACAGCCCGGACGGAGATCAGCAAGGAGCTGATCTCCCGTCCTCCTCCTCCTGACGCCCTCCGAGCCAGGTCAGGGGGGGGGGAACCGGCGGCGGCGGACGCGAACGAGCACATAGAGACGATCGGCGGGCTATGGATATTGCGCAACATAAAAATTTGCAACTACCACCATTTTATTCTATAGGGTCTTGGCATTCAGAAAATATATAATGTTGGGGGGTTTTAAGTAATTTTCAGGCCTAAAATGTGGAATATAACATGGGTACAAAAAATAAAAAAAGGCCTCAGTCATGAAGGGGTTAAGCCAGCTACCCACAGCTCGATTCCTGCTGAATCAGCCAACATTCGAGCTGTGGGTGACAATGCCGACTTTTGTTGAAGGAGATGGAAGAAAAATTATCTCCAAACAGTGCCTGCATGGAGTGTTAGCATGTGTGTGCATCCCTCCTAAATCCAGCATCACTAATGCAGCATAGCAGGAGCAGCGACTACAATAGCTGTTTCGCATGGATGGGGTAATCTAATGATTCCTCCCGTTCAGCCCCGCCCCCCAAATCTAACTGTATGCCCACCTTTAAAGAGGAACTCTTTTGTCAACAAAAATCAATTCCCGCAGGGTGACCAGTCTAAATCGCAAGGATTTTAACGAACTTCCTTGCAGATTCAAAATGTTTACTGTTCTGAAGAGAAGGGCGGTTAGTTGCAGCACGTCCTTTCCAGACTGATCCCAGAATGGGAGGGTCTGGGTTCATTATAATCCATCCTGCCCGCGTAGGAGTACAAACACCCGCATGGGTGTGCAGCTCGGGTGAGCGTACGGCCGCCTCCTCCCATAGAGAAGAACAGGCTGCTGCGTACAAATCACATGCAGCACCTGTCCTTCCTGGGAACGACCCGATACGGCTTGCATGGATCTGTACGGGTCGGCTCAGTGTGAATGAGGCCTAAAGATTTGTGTTTTGTTTTTAAAGTGGAGTTTCCCTTTATGATCACTGTTAGGCCCCGTTCACACCTCAGTGTACTGGGAATGAGTAATGCGTTCATGCTCCTTTTTTTCCCCCGCGCGAAGGTGGCTCATGTTGCAAATTCAGCTACAGGCGTCTCGCATTTAAACATGCACCAAACAAGTAATGGCAGCACAAGCACGTTGCGTGTTTTTGACATGTTCCGTGAACAAGCGTTTGGCGTGCGTTCACAGAGCGTGAAGGTGTGAACGGGGACTCATAGCTCCCCAGTACATACCTGGCAGCATTTGAACGCCTACAACAAGCTGGAGAGGCGTCACCAACAACGTACCTGAACAATCCCTCTCTTGTACATGCCGCACAGGATGAACATGGAGTCTGAAGACCACTCGACATGCTGGATCTGGTCCAGACAGGTGAACAGCTGTAGAATCTGCAGCGTGCTGACATCACGGATGACAAGTCTGTACTGAACGCAGGACGCCTGCGGAATAAAGGAAAACGAGCAGATTATTTCATTGCACTGGGACAGGAGGCCATACCTGGAAGAGACGGTCAGGACTGTCCGCTATCAGACTGGGACTCATGTGACCACCAAGATCATCAGCACTGCACAACGTACATTACATATAGAAGGACAACTGCAGCGCCAACAGCCGCGGTGCTACCGACCCGGTAACTTGGCGGTGGAAAAAGATTCCGGGTCTGTTTTGGCACTTCTACGTTGCTGTTCAGGACTTCCAATAGGACAACTGCACTTATCCATCCATCTTGGATTGCCTGAGCCTGCATGCTCATGCCAACGAATGCAGAAGCGCAGCCACACCCTACAGGGCATTGACACTGGCGATTCGGGTCAGCGGCGGATCCCTGAACTAACAATTTGCACATGCTTGCGGCTGGAATCACAGGCGGTTCTTGGCAGCCGCGGCGACTCGGCCTGCACAAAGCAACGACAGGCGCCGCACATGCGCAGCTCGAAGTACACGGTCAAGAAGGTGAAAAGGTAGGAATCCTTTCTTGCTGAAGAGACATAGGGGACCGGAGAAACTATCAGCAATGCGACATTTAAAGAAGAACTCTGGGAAAATAAAATGTTAAGAGGAGAACTATGGGGTTAGGGCTTTTCCCCATAGTTCTCCTTAGGGTAACGGGAGGACACTGAGACGCTGCAGCCGAAACAGATCCCGACAATTATGTCTGGATCCGCCCAGCTGCGTGAGTGACAGCTGGCTCTGCCTATCTAGAGGCAGAGCCAGCTGTATCCGCCCCGTCCGTTCTGCCAGTCGTACACAGCGGGGAGGGGGGAATCCAGTCCCTCCCCTGTCAGGGCTCTCTGCAGGGAGATGATCGAGAAGTGAGCGAGCGTCGGTATGTGTTCGCTCACTTTCCCGATCTACTGAGCCGACCTGCGACAGTCTCATTGTCACAGGTCGGCTAGAACTATGAGGCGAGTGATTTTCAGTCACCTCATAGGTTTTCCTTTAACCCTTGCAGAGGGGCTTCCCCCCCAGGATCCCCCCCTGCAAAGGGTTAAGTACTTGTTTTGTCTAGGGAGCTAAAATAGCAGATATACTCACCTGAATCGTGATCCTGATTGGCTCCTAGACCGGTCCCTTCGGCCCCGCTCCCCCTCCAGTGGTCTAAGGTCCTGGGAGTTGTCACATTCTATACAGTGTATAGAGGGGATATACCATCGTTGGAGTGGATGGGGCACCATGGCGGAAGGGACTGGTCTAGGAGCTAGCCAGGATCGTGGTTTCTCACTCTGCGCCACCCATAGGCCCCCTGGGAACATCTCTCTGCAGTAAAAAGTCACCTACCGGCATTTATAATATCTATTGAACGGTCCACTTCAGGTGCCGCCACCCAGCTCTCTGCGCAGTGCATTGTCATTCATCATGGACCGTGATAAGGCAAACCGTTCAAAATGCACACAAAAAAAAAAAAAAGGTGCACGAGCTATTTTTTTATCAACGCAGCGCAACACAATGCAGGCTGAGTCGCAGCATCGCGGCGCTCCATTCATTCGAAGACATGCATAATGTTCAAAAGTGTGGCCCTGGCCTGGGCGCGCACACCAATGAGCCCTGTAGTCATCTACGTTGCTCTTTGCTACATTGGACACAGTTATGCACATGCAGGTGCTGGGAGAGAGCACTCTGGGTCAGGCTGCAACACCCTGGCAACTGTCAGGTGACCTCAGACACTTTGGCAGGAACTTCATGCTCAAAGTGAAAAAAAAAAAGGGTGCCTGTCAGTCCCATAACTAAACGTGCACACTCAGAAGGGCCAGGGACTGCTGTTTGAAATTGCCTGAGGAGATCCTGAACGCTCCCTGAACTCTGCAGGCACCTTTACACCCATTCCACCTGTGTTCTGCTGCAGTGCCACCATTCCCATCCAATCCCCCTCCCCGACTACTCACCAGATACCTCCCGTTGGGGGAGAACCTGCACAGCTGATTGGACACTTTGAACACCTCGGAGAAGTTCATGTTGATCCCTTCAAACGTACGACAGCTTCTCCAGCCGGGTCCATCGCTGGAGAAGTGGGCGGAGCACGTACACGTCAAGAATACGGAATGACGCTAGGAAAAAGGCGGGGCATATGGTAATGAGCTTTAGCTGAATGACAGAGAGCGAAGGAGGGGGCGGAAACAAGGCGGGCCGCTGCAGGGAGGAGGGGGACGAGGTCATGTCTTGTGTCGAGCAGCTGGCGATGGGGCGGGACCAGAGCTGAGAGGCGGCCTGAGGCGGCGGGAGCGGAGAGAGGCGGGAAGGGAGGCGGGAGACGGTATACGACGGTCCCGGGCTACTTCCCGGCTGTATGTCACCGACATGTGACCCATCTTCCGACCCATGACTCCCCAGAGACTCCACTTCCTATCACTATAGAGAAACGGCATTAATAATAGTAATAAGTCTGACACACTTCGCCCTATAATAATACTGTATATATAGATGTGTGTGTTTATGTTCTATATAAGACACAAACATTCTATTCTGACCAGAAAAGTAGTTTCATTGTACAATATATGTAAATAAATCATATACATTTTATTCTACAATTTGTCCTATTTAAAATGACCCTAAAATTATGCATGACGACGTTATTTTATAAAGATTTTTTTTTAAAAGTTGCACTTTTTTTTGTGACATAAAAATAAATAAATATTAACGGTAAAATAAATTTAGAAATAAAATCAGAAGAAAAATAATAGCTCATGGTGAGAGAGGAGGCAATGAGTCCCCGTTCACGCCGTTGCATTTCATGAAAGCGCGGCAAACTCGGGGGACGTGCCTTCACGGAACGCATCCCAAACGTTCGACACTCTTGCGGTGCCAATGCTATGTCACCGACATTAATGGTGCACCAAAAAAGGCCGGGAAGAAAAACACGGCAGATTTTGCTACATGAGCTGCTTTTCCCGCCTGCGGCGCCCTTTAAAATCAACTCCCGTGAACGCGTTGGCGACATTTGAATAAAATAGTAAATACAAGGTAACAATAGATTGTTACATTCTATTACCTATAGCTGCGTGCTGCATTTTTTTGCATTCGCCCTGGACCGGAATGCAGGCAATGTTTTGCAATGCATCCGAATGCACGGAGGGGGTGGCTGCGGTGCCATTTACTTCAATGCACCGCCACACCCCAGAACGAAGGGGGGTGTTTAGTGTGCGCTCCAGCAGCTACCGCCAGTGTGAACTGGCCCTCAGTGAGGTTGTGCACAAATATTGGTAGAGTACCCTGAACAAAAAAAACCTTTATTTGGGTATTTTCTCCCGGGTCATGTGACCTCAGAGGAGGTCACTGGCAGCATCAACAGGTACACAATGTTATAAACATATACTGTAGAGACTATCATATATGGGGTTCCATACACTTTAACGCTACCCGTGTCATGTTATACAGTAGCAGCTGCATTTTCGGGGGGGGGGGCGGG